ACTATGAGCACAATCTTTGCTGTTATCTGAGAAATTATTTCTTATTTCATTTTTTCCAAATCCTCTTTTGTTGCCAGTTCAGGGAGTCCACGTGGTTGAGTATCTGAGTGTTCCATCTCATTTCCCTTTGGGGTTGCTGTAGGTGATCCAGAAGTCTGCTTTTGAGGCTTGTTTACATGTCTTCTCATTTCCATGGGGGGGGTGCTTCTGATGCCTGTGTGGCTCACCTTCTCTGCCCTAGGAGCCTGGGATGGTGGTGGGGGAGCTTCATTCTGGGTGCTGGTACTGACTCAGCTTCTCTGCCCTAGGAGCCGGAAGAAAGTATTCTAACAGTGGGCAAGAAATAGATGAGATCTTAAGATCATAACACTAAACACACACACACACACACACAAGCCAGAGATGTGCAAAGTTGTTTTAATTAAGATAGTAACTCAGTATATAGATATAAGGAACCACTGTGCTTCTTGTAAAATCCAACAAATAAAACCCATAACTAGATGTATCTTGGTATAATTTTGAATTTCAAAGACAGATAAAGTCCATAGCTTTTAAACTTTGAATTAAAAGATATTGTCTTGTATATTATACCACACATGGTAGACTATCAGGAGGCAATAGAGTAATAGGATATTGGAACTCTTTAGGACTTTTGATAATCACTCTTCTCATTTGCTGGGACAAAATATTTGACATCCAAAACATAAAAGAGAGGTATACTTTGGCTCATGTTTTAAGTTTCAGTCTTTGTATGGGCAACAGTATGGTGGAAGAGCCTGGTCTGACAAGTAGAGAGCAAAGGGAGGAGTAGAGAGGAAGAATACCTTCAAGGCCATGCCTCCTGTTACCCACCTCTTGTAACCAGGTCTACCTCCTAACAACAAATCAGGTATACTACCTCCAAGGTCCCACCTATAAGCACATGAGTCTCTTGGGGAACATTTAGATATAACTGAAAATTATGCCCCTGGCCTCCAAAAGACTCATGCACATTTCATTATGCAAAATGCATTTAGTCCATCTGTAATAGTTTCCAAAGTCCTAACAAATTTAGCCTCGCTGAAAAGTCCAAGTTCACAGACTCCTCTGAAACTTAAAGAAAACTCTTAGCTGTGAGCTCGTGTAAAAATCCAAGGGTGTTAAACACTTCCAATGTACAATGACACAGGATGAATAATCCCATTCCAAAAGGGAAGAACTAAGGAATGGGACTACAGCAAGTTGGAAGCTCAGTAGAACAAACATTAAATCCTGTAGATCCATATACCTCAGGCAAGTTGTTGTAAAATGCAACTTTCAAAAGCCTTGGGTGGCCCTGCCCATATGGCATTGCTGATAGTTGTAGCTCTCATTGTTTCTCTCTTGGGCTGGTTTTGCTTGCTGCCTAGGGCTTATCTCAGGTGTTCTATGTTCTTTGCTTCTCTCTCAAAGCTTTATATACTGTCTTCTCAGGGTATACTGTGTAACCTCACAGACCTTCTGAAATTGGGTGGAAGCCTTACAGACCTCACAAGCAGGATTAAGTGGATAATGTTAAGGTCTGCCACCAGCTTCAGCAGTGTTATGGCTCCACCCATAACTGAATGCCTGGATGATTGAGCACTATGAACCAAATTTCAGGGAACCAATTTGCTAGTCTGCCATTGAGGAGCATGGTTTCCTAGGGCTCTCTTCTCAAATAAAAGCTTTTTAGCCTCGCATCAT